TGGCGTGAAAAAAGGAAGGAAAATCATGGGTATGATATTTCAAATTAATGTATCCGGAAGAGGGGATGATGGGAGGAAAAGAAGGGATTTTTGATATTTTTTGAAATGGTAGGGAAAATAAGAAAATATAATAATAAATGGTGTGTAGTTAAGTAATTTTTCCAATAAAGAAACCAATAGGGTCATGACATGTGTCAAAGATGACAAGCCCGCTCCATAAAGCCCATATGCCATGTCACTTAAATCTGATTGGCCGAAGGGAATCCTGTTCCAATCGCAACTCCTCTATTATAAAACTATAAATAAGGGTCCTCATAATTCAGAAAAGAGACAGAAAATTTTAAACAAGAAGCTAGAGAAAATCCGTGGTACAAACGCCATAAAATTCTGTATAAAGTTACAAGTTTGAGAATTCAAGCATTAAAGTTCAAGAGCGATCAAGATCAAGACCATCGGATTCAAGAACAAGCTTGAAACCCTTGAATTCAAGCAAAAGTCAAGATCAAGATATAGTTCAAAGTGCAAATTCATCGAAGATTCAAGATCAAACTTTAAAACCTTTGAATTTATATTTGAAAAAGGTGAATTCAGAGGAATCATAGAGATTGTAACACTCATACTTTGAAATAATAAATACGATTGTTGCTATAATTTTCCGTTCTTGATTATTGTTTTCTCGACGCGAATTTTATTGTCTACAAATTCTGGAACGCCCAGTGGGACAATCTCTACCTCTCATCTCAACTTATTGAGCATAAAAGAATATCGAGATGAATTCAACGAAGAACAACTCTTGATCAACTGCCTCTAAGGCCACTAGCTCCAAGTTCTCTACTGAAGTTGAAGGCATTCTCGGTGTTACCTTTGGAAGTTTTGGAGCTGTTACGAGAAGTAAAGCTGCTACGCTGGGACAACAAACACCTTAAGTGTCGTCCACATCAACTCCTGTTTTTGGGTCGTCGACTCCAAAAGGAGCAAGTTCCTCCACAAACACTTTAAAAGGAGGAAGTAGTGTTGCTGAAAATATCAAGAAGACATTGGCTCTACTTGAGCAATCTGGTTCCAAGAACTCTACCATAAGGGAGAACTACGATTCAACTAATGAATCATCTCCACATGCATCGCGTAAAGTGAGTCCGTTGAAGATTAACCTACACGATAATCCATGCTACTCTCCTATATCTCCAATGATCATGCAAACGATGGTGACTGTTGCTTCCTCTCCTAAGGAACAACTCACAAATTTGACGAAGTTGGTGGAAGGATTGACAAAGCATGTACAACACCAAGAGTCTCGAATTGATAAGTTGATGAATAGGATGGAAGGACTTTTAGATGGAGAAGCGAGTCATGCGCCTGGAAAGGTTGTTGAAGTTCAAGAGATCGGAGATCTTGTGAAGAAAGCACTGATTGTTAATGACATTCCAGTTTCTTCTCAAGGAATGATCACACTCGATCGCTTGAAAGATTTTATTGAAGGCACTATCAAAGATAAGTATGAAGTCTCCACCAAGCCTTCTCATATGTATGCTAAGCCATACACTACTAGAATTGATAACTTCAAAATGCCTGCTGGTTATCAACCTCCCAAATTTCAACAATTTGAGGGTAAAGGAAATCCAAAACAACATGTTGCACACTTTGTGGAGACATGTAATAATGATGGTACCTATGGAGACCATCTCGTGAAACAATTTGTTCGTTCTTTAAAAGGAAATGCCTTTGATTGGTACACGGATCTCGAACCTAATTCTATTGATAGTTGGGAACAACTAGAGCACGAGTTTCTCAATCGCTTCTATAGCAGAAGGCGTACAGTGAGCATGGTAGAACTCACGAATACTCGCCAAAGGAAGGATGAACCGGTTATAGATTTCATAAATCGATGGAGGAACGCGACCCTAAATTGCAAGGATAGGCTTAGTGAAGCTTCTGCAATTGAAATGTGTATCCAAGGAATGCATTGGGAGCTTGTTTACATCTTGCAAGGAATAAAACCAAAATCCTTCGAAGATCTAGCTACTCGTGCTCATGATATGGAGTTGAGCATGTCCTTTGTTGGAAAATATATGACGTTTGTCCATGATCCTCGCAAAGGAAGGGACAAGCAGGAATCCAAGAGGTAGAGCAAATTTGTGCCCAGAAATGACAACAAAGAATACATTAATGTTAATGTGTCACCTGCGAAGTTCACCACGAATGAGGGCGTGAAGCAAAATGTGAGAACGACTTTCCAAGCACGTTCAAATCAAAAGTTGACACTAAGGGAGATGCAAGGAAAAAAATATCCCTTCTTGGGTTCTGATGTTTCTGAGATTTTTAATGAGTTGCTCGAGTTAAAACTCATTGACTTGCCAGAAATGAAGCAACCTGATGACCCAAATTATTGCAAGTATCATAGATTTATGAGTCATCCTCTTGAAAAATGTTTTGTCTTCAAGGATAGAGTGATGCCATTGGTTAACGAAAAGAAAATTGTCCTTGATGATGAGAAGTCTAGCTCTAACCAAATCTCTATCATATTTGGCTCGCTCGATCCGATCCAAATATATATCTCTGAAAAGCATGAAGAAGAGTTATTAGAGCAAAACAAATCTCAAGATGATATAGATAGTGATGAAGGTTGGATTATTGTGACTAGGCGAAGACGCAACAAGTCAATCTTACGAAAAGGATCATCCGAGCAACCGATTAGAGAAAAAATGGTGAAGAAATTGGAGAAGCAGAAATCAATCCAACGCCCAAAGAGGGCAAAGGTAGAAGTGCATCACTACCAAAAACCCCGACGTCTTTTGACTTTAGAGGAATTCTTACCAAGTTCGTTAGACATAAAGTCTACTCAAGACAATGTCGAGGCATCATGTTTCAATGCTGATAAAGCAGAAACAACGAAGGTGCCTTCTATTGACAAAAAAGGAATAACGAGTGAATCCTCACCAAAAGTGTCTCCTAGTGACAATGAAATGGCAACAAGGGAAATCTCGTCAATGATGACTCCCCCACCTTCTGAAAAACTTATTGAACCTTCTTCCCAAGAAGTACATGCATGTGATACAAAAATCACATTTACAGATAATGATCTTCTATTTGGTGAAACACTACACAATCGTCCTTTGTATATGGTGGGTCACGTGCTATAGAAGAAGATAAATAGAATCTTAATAGATGAAGGATCTGGAGTCAACATTCTGCCTATCCACACATTGAAAGAACTCGGCATCATGACTGGAGAACTTAGTGAAAGTCGTTTGTTGATACAAGGATTTAATCAAGAGGGGCAAAGGTCCATAGTCTCTATTAAATTAGAGATCCACATGGAAGATTTGCAATCAAGCGCATGGATGCATGTAATCGACGTAAAGACATCATACAATATATTACTTGGCAGGCCTTGGGTACATGAGAATAAAATTGTCTCATCTTCTTACAATCAATGTTTGAAGTATCTTGAAGGCGGGATTGAAAGGAAGATAGTTGCAGATGACAATCCTTTCACCGAAGTTGAGACACACTTTGCCGATGCAAAATTCTATTTGAAAAGTTATATTGTTAAAGGGGCCAAATCTAATGATGTCAAATCAATCAAGTCTGATAAGAACACAAGCAAAAGAATTGATGCGGCTGTCGAAAAGGTAAACATTGACACTAAAGAACCTTGTCCCATTCTTAATGAAGGGAAGATCATGTCTTCGAAGAAGAAGCTGACTTCTGGACTTCGCTATGTTCCAAAAGTGAAGAAAGAAGAAGATCAATCATCTAACCTTCAAGAAAATTCATTAAGAGGGCTAACTCTTCCTATCAGACGGATCGATGCAATAAACTTGCCTTCGAAGCTGCAAGGAAAGTCAATCGCTAAAAATCAAGTGCGAGATGTGGCACTCCCTCCAAGACGTACAAGAAAAGGTTTTCATCCTAATGCTTACAAGTTATTTGTGAAGGCTTGATACAACCCTAATGAGCCATCAATGTTAGGGAAACTTCCATCAGAAAATACAACTAGGCAAGTACGTGAAGGCCTAGGCTATAGCCAACCGCCACCAATTCACATTTCCATAAGAAGGACAAGCAATAACCATATAACTTTTGAAGATGATTTTGCTACTCCCAACAAAAAGCCTTCCTTCTTTAAGCGACTTGGAGAATCGACTGCAAGTACTTATATGTTTGAGAGGTTAGGTTCATTGAAGAAAAACAAGAATATGAGAAGTTATTTAAACGTTACAACGCCTGCTTCACATTTGATTCGAAAGAATTTCAAAAGTTTGATTCCTTCTAGAATGAGGCGGCGAGTGGAACTTGTGGTTTCGTGTAAAGAGGAACTCAAGGCAAAGGCTCACACTGTGGTTTACACCAAGGAGCGCGAGGAAGATGAAGAAAGTGTAGGCTCCTCAAATCATGTTACAATCTAAAATGAGTATGATTCTTTGCCTAAAATGAAGATTGATGAAGAGTTAGAAGATATTGTCTTGTGTTGTCATATATTTGTCAATGACAATGATCCTTTAGAAGAGGAAGAAGATGGAGATGCTCCACCAAAACTTGAAGAAGGAGTAAAGACCACAATAGATCCTTTGAAGAAAGTTAACCTTAGCACTGATGAAGACCCAAGGCCAACTTACTTGAGTGCTTTTCTAGAAGTTGATGAAGAAATCGCTTATATGAATATACTCAAGGAATATAGGGATGTCTTAGTTTGGAGTTATAAAGAAATGCCTGGATTGAATCCTAAAGTAGCGGTCCATCAGTTGGCAGTCAAAAATGGTTCTCGTCCTATTAAGCAAGCTCAAAGACGTTTTAGGCCAGACTTGGTTCTGTTGATAGAGAATGAAGTTAACAAATTCATTGAGGCAGGCTTTATTCGTGAGGTCAAATATCCTACATGGATGTCAAGTATTGTTCCTGTGAGGAAGAAGAATGGTCAAATTCGAGTTTGTGTTGACTTTAGAGATCTCAATAATGCATGACCTAAAGATGAGTTTCCTCTTCCCATTCCGGAGCTGATGATTGATGCCACCACTGGTTATGAGGCGATGTCATTCATGGACGGTTCTTCTAGCTATAATCAAATCCGCATGGCACCAAAGGATGAAGAATTCACCGCATTTCGCACACCTAAGGGTATTTATTACTACAAAGTGATGCCATTTGGTTTAAAGAATGCTGGTGCCACATATCAAGGGGCTATGCAAAATATATTTGATGACTTACTCCATAAAAATATTGAATGTTATGTTGATGACTTGGTGGCAAAGTTGATAAAAAGGGTTGATCATTTGAAAGACTTAAGAATGGTGTTTGAGTTGCTCCGAAGATATCAACTAAGAATGAATCCATTGAAATGTACCTTCAGAGTTACTTCTGGAAAGTTCCTTGGCTTTATTGTGAGACATCGAGGAATTGAAATTGATCAAGCCAGAGTTGATGCAATATCGAAGATGCCTGATCCTCAAAATATTCATGAGTTAAAAAGTCTCTAAGGAAAGTTAGCCTAGTTGAGGAAATTCATTTCAAAACTAGCGGGAAGATGGCAACCATTCGGTCATCTCATGAAGAAAGGTGCTTCTTTTAATTGGGACCAAACATGTAGCAATGCCTTTAAAAGTATCAAATAAACCTCCAGTTTTGGCAACCCCTATACCTGGAAAGCCATTGATACTCTACATTGCGGCACAAGAAAGGTCTGTAGGAGCCTTGCTAGCTCAAGAGAATAGTGAAGGCAAAGAAAACTCTCTTTATTACTTAAGTAGAACAATGATGCCGAATGAGCTAAACTATTCGCCAATTGAAAAAGTTGTGACTTGGCACTTGTCTTCTCAATTCAAAAGATGAAGCATTATTTTCGAGCACATGTTGTCCACCTCATTTCTAGAGCAAATCCCATCAAGTTTGTTATGTCAAAACCTGTCCTTAGTGACCGACTAGCAAGATGGTACCTCCAATTCCAACAATTTGAGATTGTGTACATCCTTCAGAAAGTTGTGAAGGGGCAAGCATTAGCGGATTTCTTGGTAGACCATCCGATACCCGATGATTGGGAGTTAATTGATGATCTTCCTGATGAAGATGCGATGTCTAATGAAATTCAACCTCCTTGGAAAATGTACTTTAATGGGGCTGCACATCGTGGTAGAGCTGGCGCTGACATAGTGTTCATCACTTCGCAAGAAGAGATGTATCCTTTACTTTGAAGCAATGTTGCTCTAATAATGTCGCTGAATACCAAGCGTTGATACTTGGACTTGAGATGGTCGTCGACATGAAGCAATTACACTTACAAGTCTTTGGTGACTCTCAATTGGTGATCAACTAACTCTTGGGAAGTTATGAGGTGAAGAAACCCAAATTGCGTCATTATCATGACTATGCTCAAAGGTTGATAGGATGGCTTAGAGATGTAACCCTTCAACATGTACGTAGAACGGAAAATAAGAAAACTGATGCATTGGCTTCCCTAGCTTCAACGCTAACCCTTTCTGATCAAATGCAAGTTACTATTTGTCAAAGATGGATAGTACCACCGCCAAATGAGGAAGAATATATAGAAAATGAGCTTGAGCACCTCGTTGCCATTTCTGAAGCCGTAAAGGAAGATTGGAGACAACCCATTATTGATTACATGTGTTATGGAATACTTCTAGAAAATCTAAGGAGAAGGACTCACATTCGTCGTAGTGCACCTCCCTTCTTTTACTACAAGGACACATTATATAAAAGATCATTTGAGGGTATACTATTACGATGTTTGGGAGAGGAAGAACCAATTCAAGCTCTGCAAGAAGCACACTCAGGAGTATGTGGATCACATCAATCTGGACCGAAACTCCACTTTCACATAAAGAGGATGGGGTATTATTGGCCAACTATGGTGAAGGATTGCTTAGAATATGCTCGGACGTGTGGCGCTTGCCAATTTCATGCGAATTTCATACATCAGCCACCCGAAGTATTGCACCCAACTATTGCATCTTGGCCATTTGACGCTTGGGGATTGGATGTTGTGGGGCCACTACCAAAATATTCTGGTGGACACTTGTACATCTTGGCTGCAACAGATTGCTTCTCAAAATGGGTTGAAGTTGTCGCTCTTAAAGAAGTGAAGAAAGAGAATGTTGCAAATTTTATCTGAGTGAATATCATATATCGCTTTGGCATCCCTCGCTACATATTAACAGACAATGGCAAGCCATTTGATAACAAGTTAATGAACAAAATTTGTGATCTCTTTGGCTTCAAGCAACGTAAATCTTCTATGTATCATGTTGCCGCCAATGGTCTTGCTGAAGCATTCAATAAGACTCTATGCAACCTCCTGAACAAAGTTGTCTCCAAGTCCAAACGGGATTGGCATGAAAGAATGGAAGAAGCTTTGTGGGTATATAGGACAACATACCGCACTCCAACTCAAGCAACACCATATTCACTTGCTTTTGGAGTTGAACCAGTCCTGCCACTCGAGCACCAAATACCTTCCTTAAGACTTGCTATTCAAGAAGGGCTCACTGAAGAAGAAAATGCTTGATTGCGTCTTGCTGAGTTAGAAGCACTTGATGAAAAGAGGCTAGAAGACCAGCAAAATCTTGAATGTTATCAAGCTCGAATATCTCGTGCTTTCAATAAGAAGGTTCGCTTGAGGTGCTTCCAAGTTGGAGAGCAAGTTCTTGCGGTAAGAAAACTCATCATTACTTCGCACAAGTCTGGGGGAAAATTTACCTCAAAGTGGGATAGACCATATGTCGTACAAGAAGCATATTCACATGGTGCTTACAATCTTGTTGATGCAGATGGCGTAAGGATCGGTCCTATTAATGCCAAATTCTTAAAGAGGTACTACCCTTGAAGTAAGATTATGCTCCTTAAGGTACGAGCCTAAACTGCATGTCACTCCTGGCCCACAAGAGTATAAATTGTGTACGGCACAACAAAAAAAAACAAAAAAATCACTCACTCCCCAAAACTACGTTGTGACTTGATCCTCTTCACTGAGATACGTAGGCGCTTAGAATATATCCTAAGTTCAGTTGCATGAGTGTCAAAAAATCAAATGTTCCCACTTGATCTGTCACATGACAGTCAAAGCAATAAGTATTTTATTTTATCTTTTGTCTCATCAAACTTTAGACTTGTCCGAAGTATTGATAGGTCAATGGAGGGGGAAAACCCTTATAAAATATGAGTTTCTTTAACAGTATGCTTGAAGTCTTTAAAATTAGCCAATTATGCAACTTGAAGTCTTTGAATCCTCTAAGTATACAAGTTGAAGTATTCGAATCTTGTAAGTGTGCAAGTAAGACTTCAAGTATGTAAGTAGAAGTCTCCAAATCCTCTAAATGTGCACATCGTTGAATTTCAATGCCTTAAGGTGGACGAGGTTTGTCCATTTGCACCTTAAGCTAGCCTTTTCGTGGATTTATCCTCAAGTGGATCTTTGAATTTCCATGCCTTAAGGTGGACAGATTTTTCCCTTTGCACCTTAAGCTTTTTATCCTTAAATGAATCATTAAATTTCTATGCCTCAAGGTGGACGAGATTTATCCCTTTGCACTTTAAGCTAGCCTCTTCACGAATTTATCCTTAGATGAATTTTGTTTTTTTTATGTCGTACACAGTTTATACTCTTGCGGGCCAGGAGTTACGAAAAAATTGTCATGCCTTAAGGTGGACATGATTTATCCCTTTGCACCTTAAGCTGACCTTTTCACGGGTTTAAATGAGCTTGACTCTTATTCTATGATGTCATTTTGAAATGGTTTGCCCTTAGTTCCTTAAAAAGATCTTTAAATTTCCATGCCTTAAGGTGGACAAGATTTGTCCCTTTGCGCCTTAAGCTGGCCTTTTCACGGGTTTATCCTTAAAAGATCTTTAAATTTCCATGCCTTAAAGTGGACAAGATTTGTCCCTTTGCACCTTAAGCTGACCTTTTCGTGGATTTATCCTTAAAAGGATCTTATAAAGCCTCCGGTTAGTGATCTTCAAGGTGGGGACGTTAAACACATCCCTTCACACCTTATGCTCAAGTATTTGGGATCTAGTAAAGCCTCCGGTTAGTGATTTTCAAGGTTGGGACGTTAAACACATCCCTTCACACCTTATGCTTAAGTATATGGGACCATGTAAAGCCTTGAGAGTAGTGTTTTTTTTCAAGGCGGGGACGTTAAACACATCCCTTCACACCTTATGCTTAAGTATTCAGGACCTAGTATTTTTTTTCAAGGCGGGGTCGTTAAATACAATATTCTAGTAAAGCCTCAAGTTAGTGATCTTCAAGGCGGGGACGTTAAAGACATCCCTCCACACCTTATGTTTAATTATTCGGGACCTTGTAAAGCCTTGAGAGTAGTATTTTTTTTCAAGGCGGGGACGTTAAACACAATATTCTAGTAAAGCCTCAAGTTAGTGATCTTCAAGGCGGGGACGTTAAAGACATCCCTCCTCAAGGCGGGGACGTTAAACACAAGTATTCTAGTAAAGCCTCAAGTTGGTTAAGTATTCGGGACCTTGTAACGCCTTGAGAGTAGTATTTTTTTTCAAGGCGGGGACGTTAAACACAATATTCTAGTAAAGCCTCAAGTTAGTGATTTTCAAGACGGGGACGTTAAACACATCCCTTCACACCTTAAAATCAAATTCTTGTGTTATGATAACTCTCCATTACATGGCTTCCAAAAAAAATAAAAAATAAAAAAAATATATATATATATATCAATCCATGACCTGCAAAAGAAATAAAAAAAAAAGAAGAGGACAACACGGAAAAAAAAAATGGAACGAAGTGAAAAAAAACACGTACCTTTATGCTCACGTGTTGCACTTCGAAGGTCTGTGAAAGAAAGAGAAGCTCGTAATGGCTAATGTTGAAAATAGAAAAACGCTAGCCTCTATTTATAGATTGTAATATGGGTTATGGCGGTGGAGGAATCCATATCCTATACCAATTTTAACTCTATTTTTAGATGTTAATACGGCATTGGAAGAATCCATATTTTATAACAATTATAACTCTTTTCTGCTTAAAATCCTAAAGAAGCATGGCAGTAGGAATTAAAAAATAAATAAATAAAAAGAAAAAAAAACGGCATAGTTATCCTTTTCGTGCTACATTTGGATTGCTGATTGGTAAAACAAACATCTAATTATCTTTTCTCCTAAATCTAATTGGTCAAGGATAATTGGAGGTTGGCAATATGATACTTAAATATCATTTCTATACTCCAATTACGCTGGAGTGTATACCAATAAAATAATCTAAAATGCATGGTATATAATTATCGTGTAATTAATACTTCAAGTTTAGTCTTCAGAAGATTAAATATTTTGACAAGACTTGAAGCAGGGGGCATTTGTAATCATTTAAAATTTATTAAATAAAAATTTATAAAATGATTCGGATTATATTAAATTCATGAATATATTAGTCCAAATAAATATTATGTGTTAATATAATTGGCCTAATTATTTGAGTCCAATAAATATGAATTTAATTAAAATCCAATTTAATTGATTTGGACTACAATAGATGAGCCCGATTTGCCAAGTCCAATTTCATCTCTTCCTAGAGGCCCATTTTTTGGTGCCACGTGGCAAATGACATGGCATGCCAAGTCAAACAAAGAAACCAATAGGGTCATGACATGTGTCAAAGATGACAAGCCCGCTCCATAAAGCCCATATGCCATGTCACTTAAATCTGATTGGCCGAAGGAAATCCTATTCCAATCGCAACTCCTCTATTCTAAAACTATAACTAGGGGTCCTCATAATTCAGAAAAGAGACAGAAAATTCTAAACAAGAAGCTAGAGAAAAATCTGTGGTACAAACGCCATAAAATTCTCTATAAAGCTACAAGTTTAAGAATTCAATCATTCAAGTTCAAGAACAATCAAGATCAAGACCATCAAATTCAAGAACAAGCTCGAAGCCCTTGAATTCAAGCAAAAGTCAAGATCAAGATAAAGTTCAAAGTTCAAATTCATCGAAGATTCAAGATCAAACTTTAAAACCCTTGAATTTATATTTGAAAAGGCGAATTCAGAGGAATCATAGAGATTTTAACACTCGCACTTTGAAATAATAAATAGGATTGTTGCTATAATTTTCCGTTCTTGATTATTGTTTTCTCGACGCGAATTTTATTGTCTACATAGTGATATAAAGCTCATGATGCAGGTTGCTTAGTTGAAGACATAGCAGTTATGAAATCTTCTTCTATATATTTTTGTAAGTAAATAAATTAGCCCTCTTAGTTAATCTATGACAATATTAATATGCAGTGTTTTATTATACTAATTAAATTAATCGTAAATAATATATCATACCAATTTCGTTTAAAGAGAAATACAAGTGGTATTATTTGTTAGATCCTAGATTTGCTTTACTCATTTTATCTTGAGTCTCATGGTGCAACATCCTAACTGTACAATTTGGCAGGATTCCTATAAATGGACATGTCTAGAGCTGTGTTGTTTTGTTGCACCTTTTTTTAATAATAGATCAAGTATTATGGATACATTAACTGCACATGACATACTTCAGTGCTCTAATTTTATGGCACAAGGGGCAATATCCAATTACTAGGAACAATCATTCCTAATAACCACACGCACGAGTACAGTCAGACCTCGCTATAACAATTTTTGTCATTATATTTTAGCCTCTAAATTTTTTTTGTGAGGATGTAAACATTAATAAGATATCGATTTCACTGGAAATTTAATATGACTTTTGGAGTAACTTCGTTTATACTAGAGAATGGAGGCTGACTTTTATTCCAACAAGCAAGTAAAGGCCTCGTTTGGGTCCTGTAGAGTGAATGTGAAAAGCTGAATCATCAGAATCATATGATTCAACTACCTGAACCGGGATGACCCATTTTAAGATCCGATGATTCACCTCTTTGTTTGCTTGTCAAGGACAAGTGGGAAAGGATAGATACGAGGGAAACAACCCATAAAATAGAGACTGGAAAGCCTTTCCGATGCAAATTCATTGATGCGGAACTACCAACTAGCTAAGGTAAGGTAGTTTGTCGTAAGAAAGCATATACTATCAAAGAATATGCCTATTGAAACTATATCAAGATTAGAATGGCATAATCATTCATATTAGTAGGGTTTTTGGGGACGAGGGAG